GCGCGTGTGTGCGCGTGTGTGCGTGTGTGCGTGTGTGCATGTGGTGCGCGTGCGCGTGCGCGTCGCGTGCGCGTGCGCGTGCGCGTGCGCGTGCGCGTGCGCGTGCGTGTGCGTGTGCGTGTGCGTGTGCGTGTGCGTGTGCGTGTGCGTGTGCGTGTGCGTGTGCGTGTGCGTGTGCGTGTGCGTGTGCGTGTGCGTGTGCGTGTGCGTGTGCGTGTGCGTGTGCGGGTGCGTGTGCGTGTGCGTGTGCGGGTGCGTGTGCGTGTGCGTGTGCGTGTGCGTGTGCGTGTGCGTGTGCGTGTGCGTGTGCGTGTGCGTGTGCGTGTGCGTGTGCGTGTGCGTGTGCGTGTGCGTGTGCGTGTGCGTGTGCGTGTGCGTGTGCGTGTGCGTGTGCGTGGGCGTGGGCGTGGGCGTGTGCGTGGGCGTGTGCGTGTGCGTGTGCGTGTGCGTGTGCGTGTGCGTGTGCGTGTGCGTGTGCGTGTGCGTGTGCGTGTGCGTGTGCGTGTGCGTGTGCGTGGCGTGTGCGTGTGCGTGTGCGTGTGCGTGTGCGTGTGCGTGTGCGTGTGCGTGTGCGTGTGCGTGTGCGTGTGCGTGTGCGTGTGCGTGTGCGTGTGCGTGTGCGTGTGCGTGTGCGGGTGCGGGTGCGGGTGTGTGCGTGTGCGTGTGCGTGTGCGTGTGCGTGTGCGTGTGCGTGTGCGTGTGCGTGTGCGTGTGCGTGTGCGTGTGCGTGTGCGTGTGCGTGTGCGTGTGCGTGTGCGTGTGCGTGTGCGTGTGCGTGTGGGTGTGGGTGTGGGTGTGGGTGTGGGTGTGGGTGTGGGTGTGTGTGTGTGTGTGTGTGCAATGTGGCCAAACTCCGGCCTTCAGCTCCAGCTCCTGACGCGATCTGTTTCAGGCGCTTCGCTTCCAAAGCCGAGCTTGTCACTCGCACTGGCTCCTGCACGGACGGATCCTTCGCTTGCAGCGCGCGCATCAAGGGAAGTACCTGTCTGGCGTCGCAGGCAGGGAGGCCACAGGCTCGCAAGGCCCAAGGCCTCGTCTGGATCGTCTGGCCGCCTCCACGCAAACAACTCGGGCACCAAACCAGCACGGCACGAAACAGCAACAGCAAATGCTCGGGCACCATAACAGAACCAACAGCAAAATCGCCTGCCATGGTCAGCAAAAGCTTGGTAACAGCTCGCCACGTCCTCGCAACCGGTGGGACCCTCGGGGGTCACCAGTACAGTCGAGGCTCGGCTCCTGACCAGCCTGGCGAACGAGCTGAAGCACGTCTTGGGACAACCTCAGGGCTGCAAAATGCCGCGCTCAAGGTCCGCGCACAGATCCCGGCAAGGCCAGCTCCTGCCAAGAGAAAAGGATATCCAAAAGCTCCAACTTGAGCTCAGTGAAATGTGAAAACTGCAAACTGCCCTTTTTTCAACAAGCCTGCATGGAGCGCTGCCAGAGCTCCTTCCGCACGTCAAAGCCTCTGTGGCAAGGTGAAAGCCAAGTAAGATCGGGCACGATCGCCTTCAATCCCCAGCTCGTTGAGCATATCCCGGTATCTAGGAATGGGGGCGCGCGTTGCGCGGACTCGCACACTCGCACACTCGACTCCTCGACTGACTCGAGTCCCACCTGCTCTTGGCATTGGCCTCTTGCCGGTCCAGCTCCGCCTGCCTCGCCGTGCAGTCCTGAACCTGCGAACGCCCGAGCGAGCGAAAGCAAGGAGCCGCTCCGAAGCCGCCTGGCGCTCGCAGGCGGCGGCCTGCTTCTTCCTGGCGACCCATGCGGCACGCGGGACATGCGGGACGCAAACCTCTCAAACATTGCCAGCGGTTCAGGGCCGGCACTTCGTAGCTGACATTCTGGATGAGAACCCGCGCCTAGTCTTAGGCCCTTCGCTCCAACTCACCCAACTCGCCCTTGGATTCACGCAGAACTGGCCCAGCCCAAATGCCGTCGTTTGTACCTCGCACAAACGAATGTCAGCGCAGAATCAGGAGGCCAGGACGCATGCTCTGATCCGGAGCTCGCACAAACGAATGTCAGCGCAGAATCAGGAGGCCAGGACGCATGCTCTAATCCGGAGCTGGCTCTACTGCAACTGGTTCCCCTCACATGCGAGGATCTCCATCCTCTCTGTTCGCAGTGACAACTGACCGGCCCAACGGCACGCATCTACAACTGCTTTCCATTTTGCTGCTCCAGCATGGGCATGCCCACCTCATGATCATTTGCACATCACGAACAAGCACATGTGCCTGCAATACTCAGGCAGCAGCCCAAAAGGGTTTTGGATTGCCCTTCAGGGGATCGGAGTATGGCCTATGCCATGGCATACACGGCACAAGGTTTCCATCGAGGCAGCATGCCTCGTAGATTTCTTTGGCGGCCAGGTAATGAATGTTGTCACCTTCCTGGATCAGCGCTCGAGCAGCCTGACTGCGGTCTCACAGCGCTAATTGGACGCGTGTCTTTTGCCTTGCCTTGTCCACAACTTGTTCTTTTGCTGCTTCATGGACGCGCGCCTCCCAACTCAAGCATGCAAAAAGCGCACTTTAGATTGACCGTCCATGGCCTGGACAGCAGCAAGGAGTTTTGGAAAATCCTGGCAAGCTTGCTGGACCGTTTAAGCAAGGAACACCATACAAAGGTCTGGTTGCTCCAAGTTCAAAACCAGATTGAGGGTGGAACTTCAGGTATGGCTCGACGGCCAAGTAGCCTGGGCAACGACATTTCCTTCAAAACGGTCCTTATCCACTGCAACGTCTGAATGATGTTTCTGAATGCCACGCAGGAGCCACTCTGTCAACTTGGAGCACTGAACAGCCAAATCTGCCGACATGGGCTGAGGGATTCTGCATTGACGAGGCCGATCGCAAATTGCTTTGTTTGGTTGTTTGTGTTGTTTTGATGAATGAGAGCTCTCTATAGAATGAGTCTGCTAAAAAGTTGCCTTCCATTGTGACTGGTGTGCTCTCCAAAACATCAAGTAGCTTGTGCCAACTGGGTCATGTAAAAAGTAATCTGTGAATAACTGTGATTCAAAATGCTCGTGTGCATGCATTCCTTTGCAAATGTGTAAGTGTGCAGCATGTGAGTTTGGGTAGTCAAATTTGCGCAAGAATATGGATCAGGATCGGCTGACTACCTTAGCAAGATCAAACTCAACTAATCAAACACCAAGTTAGGGCTGTTTTTGCCGGCGGTTGCTTTTTGAGCCTTTGGCAAAAGCATGTGCCGATTCTGAACAGTATGCGCAGCAAGTCCACCCCACCATATTTCAGCAACATGGCGTCAACAACATGTGTTCACCCAAGTCTGGTGTGAAGAGTTGCTCCGACAAAACACCAGAAATTTATTGAAGCACAAAGAGTATACCCAGCCTACAGACTCGAACACGTTCGGCAACACAAGCAAGAAGCGCAGAAGTGCATGCGCAAGATGTACACAGCCAACGTCATAAGCCTCACGTGCACGAGCACAATATGGTGCTCTGCATGGGTATGATACATGAGCACGTTTACATGAGCCAAACGCCTGTCAAAAAAATATACACGAGCAAGCTTGACAGCAGCAACATTCACCTTGCACCCTGCCACCTCCAAACCCTAGGTTGCAAAACCGATGTCGCTATGTCAGTTGAGCGCTTTCCCTAGGGAATTCTCGCTCTAAGGCTCATTGTTTAGTCCCAGAGTTTTCACGCCACATGCGGCAAACGAAATGCGTAACTCGAAACAAAGGGAAAAGCCGATTGCACTGCGCGCTCTTTCTCAGTGAGTCACTGTGCCAGGAGGCGAATCAACCACGTAGTCAATGACAAGTTGGGGTTCGAGTCCCGTGGGGTGACCCCTACCCTTGACAATGGAGTCGTATAGTAGGGGTCGGTGTAAATAGGGGTTGTAAGGATAAAATGGCTTGCGTTGTCTCACAACCAACTGCGACAGCGGAGAACGGTCCTTTTGCCTCTTACAGCTTTCCGTTGGATATTTGTGGTGAACCACTTATCAAGAACTTGAGCCAGTTGACTCACTTGAGCCAAAGCATCCATATGCATGAGTCGACTGCTCGCACAACAACATCCCCACAAAGGCTCAAGGGACCTTAAAGGAGGGGAAGAGAACAGGGTGACCCTCAGAACCTGCTCTTGAAATCTTGGCCTGTTCCGGAGATTCTTAGCATCCCCCATCCTGGGCTCGGGTTCATCCCGGGGTCAGGAACCATCCACAAACACATGCCGACATGCATGAACGCACGGCTTTTCTCATTCAATTCTGTGAAACATCTCTGCACGAGTTTGACCAGGTTCTGTATATTTAACAGGAAACGAGAATGCTACAGGTCGCATACCGGACCTCATGTACATTGATGCACACGCAGCAAACGATCTATCAGGTAATGATACAGATCCAGAAAAGTCTGCAGAAAACGAACATCCATGACGAGCATAGTCCACCACCAATTTGTAACCAATAATACTTTCTAGCATCGAATAATCATTGACCACCAAATACCTAAAATCTCGAGAATAGTAGTCGCCGATGACGACACTGTACGGAAACATGAAAATGTTCTGTGGTGACAAATGCAAGTTTCACGCAAATACTTTTGGGTTGATCATGGTACCATGCACGATGAGTACCACGATCCCATTGTGAAAAACGCAATCTCCAGTTAATCCCCCACATAGTAGAGATCGTATTGGAAATGCTTGATCACCAGTGCAATGACGCTGCGATGGCCCTTCTACTCGCCCTCCACCGGAACCTTTCTAGCAGAGAATGTGGTGTCTCCTCGGTCCGATTGATCTTCTCGATGTAGCGCGAGGGCAGATGTATATCAACTTTCAAGAACTGAAGATCGCTGAGCGGCTGCCGGTCTCGCTGGCTGCCAAGAGCGCAACCCTCGCCGCCTTAGAAGGCGCGCAAGGAGCTGGACGAGGCCTCCAGAGAGCTCCTCGCTGCGCTGAACCTGCAGGGCAGCGCCACCGACTCGCTATAGACAGAACAGAATCTCGGACAGAAAAAAGACGCGCTCGTCCGACCGGCCGAATATTTTATTATTTTTCTATAGAAAGCAATTTATTCAGCTCAAACCAATTCGCGCCATGACCTCCGAGCTGTCCGATCGCATCTGGGGCCGCCTGGGGCTCAGCGCCGTCCGGGCGGTGCCTCTGGAGGAGCCGCGCGCTCCTAGCGCCGAGGCCGCTGTGACAGAACTGCGCCCGCGCGGGGCCGCTTGGACCCGCGAGCTGCGGCTGCGCCCTCTTCCTGGGCCGCCGCCCAACAAGGCGGGAGGCTGCTGGAAGGAGCTGCCCGAGACCCTGGCCAAGAAGAAGGCCATCTGGAACCCTCAGAACGAGGACCACCGCTGCTTCATGTGGTGCGTCCTCGCCGGGCTCAACAAGACCGAGCGGAAGAGGACCGTGAGCTGCTCGGGCTCCTTCTTCTACCCCGAGCTGGCCGGCCGCCGAGGACCGCCCCCCGGGCTGGCAGCCCGCTCTGGCCGACACGGGGGTGGACTTCTCTGGCCTGCCGACGGACCGCCCCGTGGGCTTCGACGACATCGAGGCCTTCGAGCTCCGCAACGCCGGGCGGGTGGAGGTCTTCGTCTTTGTGTGGCAGCAAACCCAGTGGGCGGACGGGCTGGAGTACTACCACGTCCTCCAGCAGCGCGCCCCGAGCGGCCACAACTTCCAGGCGCTGGTCAGCAGGCGAGGGCTCACCCTGGGAGCCACGCCCACCAACACCGGCGGCTGCATGGAGTACAAGTGCCCAAGGTGCATGGCCCGCTTCGCCAAGAAGGCCTCGTGGCAGCGCCACCGCGCCGCCCAGTGCTGTACCTGGAACATGGCCGGGCACCAACTTCCAAGTTGGCAACGTGCCCCGCTGCACCAAGAACTGACAAACACACAATTTGACCCAGGCCCGCCTTCATCTCCAACTCCCACTACACCCTCGTCGCCTAGCAACACTGCAAACGCTTCCGCCTGTCTGGTCAGCTGGATTGACTGAAGAGTTTGTTGCAACCTTGACCCATGCTTTCTTGCAGGATGCTGAACAGCGTGCTTTGCGAGTTGACATTGAACAAGGAGGCTGCTTTGCGAGACCATGCCTGCAGAAACCCAGCTGTGCCGTCGACCTTTTTGCAGGATTAGGCGGGTGGGCCTTGGCCGAGATTGGGCAATTGAAGCAACTGGGGGACAATCGCCCCTAATCACAGCAAGTGTTGGACACAGCAGAGACACGGCAAAGGCTTCATCTGAACTCTTTGAGGGAACCTTTTGGGACCTTGGCTCATTTTTGACTGAAACCAGAGTGCAGTTTGACCGCGGACACCACTTCATCAATGCGAAAGTAGGAGACAGGAAGGTCCAACAGAAGCTTGCAACATGGAATTTTGCAGTAGCAGTTGCTAGCCCATCGTGTCAACCATGGTCCACTGCGAGCAGTCAGCATGGTTTGTCAGCAGAACTGGGCTTCAATTTTTGCGAGCTCAATAACTTCGTATGCGCAATTCAACCATGCCTGCTGGCCCTGGAGAACGTCAAGGGGTTATTGAATCACCCACATTTCGGATTGCTTGTCAAGATCCTCGAGCATAATGGCTTGAGGTTGGTGTATCAAGAGATCCAGACCACCCGCAAATGGCTCCCGACGGAAAGAACACGACTGCTTTGCATTTTCAAACGCTTGGATTGGAATTGTCCTTATGAGAAGATCCAGATGCTGCATCAACTTTCCATGCCTTGGAACGAGCAGACCGAGAATATTCATCGCTATTTGGATGAGGACGCAAGTGATGAGTGCATCTTGAAGCCCACGAGCCAGGAACTGCTCAATTTGGCCAATCCTCAGTATTTTGCAGGTGCTTCAGGTAGAAAGTCCTTGCAGCCAGGAATGTTGCTACCAAGAATCACTTTGGACCAATCATGGCCAGTTATAGAACGAATGCAAACTTTCAGGAATCCTTCTTGAAAGACCACAAGCTGCTCGCAGACATCAAATGCATCAATGGGATGTACCTTTTTCTGCACCCCATCGAAATCGCGGCAGCCCTGAAAACGCCTAAGGAAGTCAGAAAGAAGGGTTTTGCAATTCTGGACGAACCTACAGATGCTTCGACTATTGGGCAACATGTATGTTCCTTTTCAGTCGGGCCAGGCGTGGATCAAGATCAATTTTCTTATCAGTCCGGAAAGCGCGTACATCTGTATGAAGGAAGTTGGGAAGCTTTGGAAACTCAGCATGATTGACTTCACAGACTGCAGAATCAGGCATATTGACCGTGTTTTCTCAGTTGAATTCAAAGTCACTGACATTACCGATGATTGTGTACCGACACAGAAATTCGCGCTGGAACACCGACACGGATGCCATCACCTTCCTCTTCCAGGAACGGATTGTAGTTGTGAACCGACGAAATTACCCATCCTGCACCCTTGAATTTGGAGCGTTCTTTGGAAGATCAATTTCAGAGGAAACGATCGCTGCCCTCAATGAAGAAATCATTGCACGCAAGACCATCAGTGCGAACCTTATCCTGTATCCAAATCAGCCGCTACCTGGGATCGTCCTCGTGACCCCGACTATCCAGCCAGCGTGTGAGCTCAGAGATGATGTCACTTTTGGAAAGGGCGAAGATTGCATCAATGTGACAAAGCGGCAGAATCCTGAGAAGACTCACAGCGTACTGCAGGAGCTGAGAGTCACTGAACTCGCTGAGCTGTCAGGTTGGTCATTCCAGACAATGTGCAGCATGACGAGTTTGAATATATCCTGCAAATCCATATGTGGACCACTGTGTGCAGAACAATTGGGAAGAACCAACCAACCAATGGACATTGTGTCGACTTTTTAGG